CGCTCAAAAACTAATATGAAAAAGGTCACGCGAAGAGTTCAGTTCCATTGTGGCATTAGCTCTTGAGTATATCCATTTTTAAGGAGCACACAGCAACAACCGCCATCACCTTGAAGCACTAGAGTGTTCTACGCAATAAGTTTCAAATCACCCAGAGCCCTGCAATGACTTCAGCGACTTCTTACACGCAAAGACGATAAATGCGGAGGTTTATTCTAAAATAATAAATTTATTTCATCGGTACTACCCTAGTACTCAGTTAAGTTTTGCCGCAACACTGCAATGTGGCCCATCTCATAGCTATCTTATTTCAAGAGACAGCAGATCGAACGACATGAATGCAAGATTGTGGTACGTTCAAGCTTTTCACAAGGACAAATTCTATCGAACTGCTTCAACATGCGATTCTAACAGTGTTGTTCTAGCTGGTCGATAATTGACTGAAAGTGGGTAAGCCCTTATTCAATAAAGTAACACTTTTCTGGTTTTTTAAAACACAATACATTAGAGAAAAAGCGTTGTATTGGCTATGAAGATTGAACACTTGTGTTCTGAAACTTCACAACTGTTTGTGCAACAACACGACCGAATGAGCTGTAATTGTCGAAAGGCCATAGGAAACATAACGTTGGTTGCTTCAGCGACACAAAAATTCAGTGATGCTTTGTGATGTGCAATGGTTTTGGCGTCAGGCCAGACCCGAACCCGCGCTTCACCCTTTCCAAACTTGTGCTTAGTCAATCGCGCTATCAACACCATTTTGCCACATTTCTTTTTCGCTACATCGCACCAATCTATCAGCTATGAACGTCAAAGTTTTGCACATTACTCACCATGACTTGTTATATATGATCATGCCACCGCCCAAAAAGGCTAAATGAAACGAATTCTGTTTGATCAGACACATAAATCGCTTGAGTTGATCCAGTTTCCGTATGTATTTGAAAAGACAGAACACCCTCAGTGATATTAGAATTTTAAAAATAATCAGAGGTGATCGCTCATGAAGTCAACAAAACATGTCTCTTTTGTATCCGTTGTAAATATTAGTGTGATCAAAAAGTGGAGACTTTCCACAAAACCTCACACCACATAGTATTAACTCTAGATTAAGCTGCACATTTTTTATAGTACACTATTAATGAAAAAACTCGAACATCTCGCTCTCAACTGATGAGCTTTGAAAAGTTTAATCTGAAGCTGAACAAAGAGATGAGGAACGCATTGATTACCACCCCTAATGAACACCATAACAAGTACACCTATCTTCGTTTGACTTCACTATCGTGTAACTTCGAATTTAATTTTTGAGAGACGATGAAAATGCACAAAAATGTTAGACAGTTTTCTGAAATCACATTTTTGAGTAAAGCGAATTACTTAATCTCCTACTTGAGTAGATTCCTACACACTTCTTACTCACTTTCACATGAACACAAAAATGTCAAGGATTAGGCTTTCGCAGTCGATCAGTCGCGATATCGAACCACTGACCGTCAATTGATCGACCACTTCTGTACCGCGGAGCACCTCTACTCACTGTGCCGCATGCGATTCAAAGAAGCAAACGTGCACATTTTGATGATTCCCTTATCTCGCAAATGATTAAGATGAAGTGTTAGGTGATTGAGTGGTTTTGCTCAAAGTTGATGGATTAATGCAAATAATACGCTATAGTCGAGAGTCACACCTATCGGGACACTTAGATTTATCGTTCTTGAACACACGAGACTACATATTTTTTACTCTCAACTTATTAAATTTTTACAAGCTATCACATAAAGACCTTTTAGAGAGTATGAATTGTCGCCAAGAGCTTTTTTCTTTCATGCACTGAATACTTGTACTTGACCTTTTGCGACTGGTCTCTAATCTAATATAGCGATTACTGCGTTTGTGTTCACATCAACACTTACAATCAACTGTCCCGCTCTGCTCTAAATATCCATTTTCTCTCGAAGATATTAAAGCGTGCGCAGGCAGCCTCTCTTCATGGCCGTCCGAACAGCCCGACAGCCGAAAATGGCGCCGTCTGCAAAGGAAATTTCATCTTCTCTCAAAGGCAGCTCATGGAGGTGTCGAATTTGTCTCTTTGGATTGTAGTTTCTTTGTCGATCAAGCCTGTAGCACGAAGTGTTAACAATAATTTTTATTCGGCAAACGTATCGACGTGATTCGTCTTCTTCAAAACCGATGGTGCGAATCGAACGTCCACTGTCATTCGTCCTCGTTCAGGCACTTCGCCTTCGTCTCGCTCAAGTTGAACCATCTTGCAATGGAGCATCGCTCGAATGAGGAGCTTCACTCGGCGAACTTTGATGTAGGGTATGAGTCTTGCGTTAACTAGCGATATGTTTTGCTTATTTGTCAACCACCTGTCGATAGTGCCAATTCCTGAATAACAAACTCATCGAGTGGGTTTATTTGAGTCAGTTCACTTTGAGCTAGTGAACTAACCGCTCCTAAAGCAAATTCAATGCTATGTAAAAAATTCTTTCACTTTCTCTAACCTGTATTTCTCAAATGCTTTGTTTCTTCAACATTTTTGTTGTGAAGAAAATATCAGTATGCCTAATATCGTCTTTTAAGCCACGCATATGGTCTTTATGGAGCTCAGTGCACGTGATTCAGTGCAGCCTCGACAGTTGGGTAATAACCTTCGTCTTAGTCAATGCTTTTGGAGGAACCCAAGCTCCCCACATGGAGTAGGAAGGTTATCATCAAGCGTACTGAAATTTAAAAGGGGTCTTAAAAATACGTGAAACCAGCAGTAAGAAGAATATCTGCTCAATCAACTGATTAAAGAAGAAATGGATGAAAAGGATATGACAGGCAATTTTCAATAGATAGTGAAATTGAGTTAAAGTATTGTCTGATGAAAATGGTGGTAAGCGAGAGGAGCTATCAAATGCAGGAATAATTTATACAGGTCCAATTTGCATCAAAAATTTTTTCAAGCAACACGACTGCGTATTATATAGTGCAACGTTCTAGCTTTTGTTTACTAATATTTTTTTTTACTACAAGGCGCGATGTTAGGTACAATTAACTGGGTTCTGAAAAATGAGCAATTTTTGGCACACAGGTGCGCTTTAAACTTGTGATTTTCTTCTCGGAAAATTACATGAAATCCACCACATCAACCAAGGTTTTTTTCATTTTGCTCTCCTCCAACCCAAAGCACAATGATGTTGAACGTTTCGGAGGTCGTGTGGCGCACTAAAATTTATCACTCTGCATTTCACTCTGCCTCTCCTACATTGAAATTTGACAATTTATTTATTTCTTTGCTAAGAGGCATTCCTGAGCAGTAATCATCAAGAATATGCTTGGTCCGAACTTGGCTTGAAAATCTGCCGTGATATAAAGACATGAATTCGGAAAGTTAAGTGGACGCTTATGACGTTCTGGTGCGAAATACTCTGCAATACACATGCGTAATCGTGGCGTGATCCCAGCATCCCAGGCTCACTAAGTTTGTTGCGCAACGCATAATATACACTTAAAATATTTTTTTCCACTGAAAAGGGATTATTTGTGAAACTCCTTGGCCCGCGATGCTACAAAGGCTGGCACAAAATAGTTTCCAATATTATACCTTCATTTCGAGTGCTTTGTTAAGACTAGGCTCAAATCTCAATAGATCCTTTTATTATTATTTACACCAACTTGTCATGTGGTCTGGTAAGGGCTCTTGTACAGCCCGATACACGTGTTTCGTCCTCACAGACTCGTCAGCCGGGCAGAACCCGTCGTCTTTCAATCTTTTTATAGTTAGTTCTCTCGGGCCTTACACTCCTTATAAAGAGTCATCGAAGACGAACATTTTACACTCTATGTCAAGTGAAATTTTCACCTGACACAGAGTGTTGCGCACTCTATTGCTCATTGGATGGTACTTTTATCATAATTAAGCCTTTATGACATTATTACCATTATGTATGGGTGTCATTTAGCAATATCCTTTGCTCATACATTAACAACTGTGAACAATTTACTTTGTGCGTTAGTTTTGTAATTCTTAAGATAGTAACTCCTCCTTTTCAACTGAACTGATAGAACTGATTTGATAGCTTGAGAATTGGAAATATCTGTATTCAACTTGTCTTTTAAAAAGGCCCATTTACTGCGCTGCACCAGCGAAGAGAGGTGTACACCATGATTTCGAGGTAGTCTGCCTGCTGCTTTGACTTCACAGCGGTCTCTGTTGACAGTCTTATAACAAAATTTAGCTAGTTGAATCATTCCTCGCCACAAAAAATAGCATGCAGCCGCGAGATTCCTAAAGGCATTCAAAGCAAGAAACGCCCATACGTCCTAGCAATCCGCGTTTGCCATAGAAAACGACATCCATTGGAAATGAACAAATTCCCTAGCTTTAATTGCACATCCTTGTCACTTATTTACGAGTAAAATTTCTGATACTTATCATTTGTCCGGTGGCCATAAACCTACAATCAATCCCCTGATGTTGAGCATATGCAGTTCATACAAGTCGATAGATTTCCAACAGCTGAGTCTTACGTTTCCTAGAGCGTCTCTCAAAGCTAGCAAAGAGTAGGGCAGAATTCTAGGTGACGCCACCTTCCATGACAACTCATCGATTATCTCTTTATCGGTGTTGTGATGAGAATGAGAGCAATAAAGTACATAATCGGCCCAAGCTTCAAAAATTTTCTTTTTTCGAGCCTAGTGAGGTCAAAGTGACTCTCAATTTTCTTTAATCAACCTCCTTTAAAGGAGCATCTCCAAGAACAGTGAATGCCGAGTAACGACAATGACCGAGAAATATTCGGTACCTAATAATGTAGAGTGGTATGCAAAATTAAGTGTGTCAGCTGAGAATCGAACTCAGATCTCACTCTTTCCGCGAGCGTGTCTTGAATATCTGCCAGCATAAGTGGGTACAATGTCGATAAGTGACAGCCCACGCCAGACCGTAGCCATTGGCTATTGACAGATAACGCGTTGTAGCGTAGAAAGAGCGGTGTGCAAAACGAGCGCTGGTGGTGCAATGGTTCAGCACACGCTCCTCAAAAGAGTAAGATCGGAGTTTGAGTCTCGGCTGACGCAAGTGTTTTTAGGCGCACCACTCTACATGATTGAAATCATTGTGAAATAGTACCACCGCATCAAGCTGTCAAATACAGTGAATTCTGATTCAGTACTAAGCTTCCTTAAAATGCCTGTGGCTTTTCGTATAGAATCGTTTCATGATGCAGAAATATTAAGCCTCTCTTAAACATGTAAACTACAAATAATTTCTAGAAATCAAAAGTCTGTGTATTCAAGCGGTGAAAGTGAAGTAGGAGACTTATGGCAATCAACAGATAAACTACGTCTGCTTCCACTGATGACTGGCCACATCCACCTACACGTGATCATATTGAGTTTTTTTCAGAGGTTAGAACTTGAAGGGAAGTACAGCTATCTCCTTGAAGGCAATAGAATGAGAGATACGTGGAATGCGCAAGATTATTAGACAAAACCGGTGACAATGGCTGCAGCCCCGAGTCAAGTTCTTGGTAAAGTATAAATGGACATACAGAAAACTAATATCCACACGATGATAGGATAAAGTCTATTCTACAATTTTATATAGATCCCATTCTCTGAAGTGCACTAATAATCCAAAAATCATTTGGAGTTGTCAATGAACTGGTTTGACAAGCAGCATGCACCATCATTGTTGGCCAATTATTCATTGCTTAATAATTTTCAATCACAGTGTTTTGGTTGAACTTTTTTGAACATTGACAAAGTTCTATGGTTTCATGATTTCTCGGTATTGTGTATATTGAAAAAGCAAAACTCAAAGTTTTGCATCATAATATGCTATATATAGCCCGTTATGATTTACTGCAAAGCGAAAAGCGAAGAGCGCTTTGCTTCGCTTCGCTTTGCTGACGATATCGTTCTCATAACACCAAACATCAGCCAAGCGGAACGAATGTTGACTGATTTCGATAGCGCCTGTGGAAAGATCGGTCTTCAACTGAATCTAACGAAAACAATGTTCATGAGGAACGGATGGGTTTCTAATGCCCCATTCACGCTCAACGGAACGACAATTTCCGAATGCTCCAGTTACATCTATCTAGGTCGTGAAATCAACATGATGAACGACCTAGCCCCAGAGTTGAGCAGGAGGAAACGAGCGGCTTGGGGAACGTTTAAGAGCATCGAAGACGTAGTGAAGAGGACAAAGAACATCCGACTCCGTGCCCACCTTTTCGACTCGACAATTATCCCTGCCCTAACGTATGCAGCAGAAACCTGGTCGCTACGTAAGCAGGATGAAAGATCACTTGCCGTTATCGAACGCGCAGTCGAAAGGTCGATGCTAGGAGTATCTCGTATTTCGCAAATGAGACAAAGGATCCGAACTTCCGACCTACGTCAACGATCGAAAATCAGAGACGCCGTTCTACACGCCAGGATATCGAAAATAAGGTGGGCCGGACACGTGATGCGCTTCAACGACAACCGATGGACGAGAGCCGTTACCGACTGGATTCCTCGGGACGTCAAGTGCTCTAAAGGAAGACCACTGACCCGTTGGTCCGATTTCTTCACGAAAGCGATGGAAGAAAGATATGATGCTCAGCGAATTCCTAGAGCAAGGAGGTCCCACTGGGCTACTCTTGCACGCGATAGGGAAAAATGGAAGAGTCGCTGGTACCCGCTCGAGTCACTCGACGATTAACGGGACGACAGGTGATACAGGTGATGATTTACTGAATGCCAAAAACACGTAGCACGTGATTGCGTAGTGAACTAGTGTTTTCTTAACACGATAAAACAGACTGGGGCGCCGTGGCCAAGCAGTTGTGATGCCCGTCGCGATGCGCGTGGACTCGAGCTCCATCCCACCTCATTCCGGCAGACGACAAAGAGGTCCTGTGGAACATCACAGCAAGGCTATCCTCTAGACTGCATGGAAACTTGCTCAACCAGTATTCTCAGCTCTCAAAATTAAGACGATTAAGCGATTTGAGTGCTAGAAGTACTGGGATTCGCACAGTGAAAAAAGAACTCTATACCGGCTGTAGAGCAATGGGCGGTAAAGGAGAACTGAAGCTTGCACCTTACAGATGCACCTTAAAAGCGATGCAAGTCTAGGTGCCAAACGTTGACCCATGGCTAACCCCCTGAGTTGTGTGAAGTACCTAGCTGACCACCGAAAGATTGAGCAACTAAAACATTGTTTCAAGAGGGTCATCATTTGTTGAATTGGGAAGCCATACATATTTACTTCTTGCTCATTCCCTGTTGAAAATTTGATAATGGCTTGCATTGCAGAGCATTTGATGCGTTTGTATAGAATGAGGTAACATCAAATGACGTTACGTGCGAGTTGTTTGCTTGCGCGCAATGTAGGTGATCTAAGAACATTCAAATATTGGGTAGAGAGTTGTATGTTTTCGAGCACCTAAAAAAAGTAAAGTTTAGAAACCACGTTATTATATCCGTAGGCCCTCCTATACAACTGATGTTAGGTCTAACCTTGCATGTTGATGGATCGGTTGACAATAGATCGTCAGTAGATGTTAATTTATGTGTTTTCATGAGAAGGTATTGGACTGGACAAATTGGATTATTGTTCCCAGGCCGAGAGATAATGTGAGTTCTCAGAACCGCTGCCTTTACCGTGTTGACCCATTCTTTGTTTGAATATTGATAGTGGAGTTTATATTACTTCTCAGAGTATGGACAATAGAGGGAGACATCCTGAAGAAGTTTCTCCGTTATTTCGACATCCAGCTGGTTTGGAACTACTATGGATTCATCACCTTTATCACTAAGGGATAGGCGGACAGGTTTTATTCCTACGAGCTTCCTGATTTGGAAAAACCCTGTTTTTGTTTGTGTGTCAGATTGGGCCTTGATTTTTTATGCCGAAAGTGGTTGAGTATTTGCAGACTTTGTATGGAAAAACGCGAAAAGTAGGGTGTTCGATATCTGGAATTTCTTCTCTTGTGAAGAGCTTGCGGGAAGGTAATGGATGGTAGTGTCCCTGTTTGTTTTTTTATTACCTAACCCTTCTAATCTAGCCTTGTAACGCCCTTGATTTTGTAGTTCTTGTAGACTGTATACGGTCCTGCGCAGAGTTAACTTAGAAACGGGTCGACTAGGTGCAAAACCTGGACCTAATTCTAGTAATGAACGCGCATCCTTTGAAGCGTTACGCCACGTACACAGTGACTCTTGTTCTCTCTTGATCATGGCACCTAGTCATGCCAACGCTTTCATGTATGAGGTGGAAGCACAAGTTCTCGTTCACCGCCCATTACTCTACTGCCATTATATAGACGATTGTTTCATTGTCTGTTCCACACAAGAGAAATGGACAAGTGTTCTAAAGTCTTGAACGGATAGTCAGAGCATATAAAATTTACGCGAGAGAGGCTAAACGGGAGCTGGCTTCCATTCTTAAACATCCAAGTAAAGCTTCTAAATAGTGGATATAGTACAAAATAGTATCGAAAACCAAGTAGGAAAAACATTTTGGTCAATCACCTTTCCTTACATCCTCACACATGAAAAAATCGCTTATAAAAAATGATTTAATTGGTTGAAAATGTGTGCACAGGAAAAGAGGAAAGCGAGTTGTTAAACTTGGCACGAAAAAATCGCCACTTCTAACGGCTACAAAACATTTGCTACTCAGAACAATTCAAAAAGTGGAAGTAGGTCCCACAAGAACAATACTCTACACCTATAGAGTTCCCTTAAAACTGCTATTAATATCAAACGAAATCAGTAGCGCAGTTAAAAGGTATCTAAAGTTGCGGTCTTGAAAATTCCGTGGTGATTATTAAAATCCCACTTCCCACCCTTCGCCATCAGCTAATCCGCAGTAGACTTTACGATCGATTGTGCAGCACCAAAAACTGTATGATCTGCCCTAACGGAAAGGAGGAGATTGTATGAGATTGGGCACAATTTATTTGCTAGCATGTAAGACATGGGGGAAGATCAATAAGCGAAATGGGTAGACCAGTTTTCATTCGCATAAAAGAACATCTATATAGTAAATTTACAATAGAGGAAAACCTAACCTTTAGGTTTACTTGGGGCACAAAAACACATCAGCAAAGATTTTGATGTGACTGTCACAATTTTGGCGCAGGAATCAAAGTCATCCACGCGCAAAACTTTGAGGCATTTTGGATAAAGGAGCAAAACCCCGAAATGAACCGAATGGACTATTGCGTCACCATTACAGAAGATTTCGCGCCCTTTCTTTGTTTGATCTTTTGATCTAACCTAGGAGCATATAAATAAGATCCTTCAAATCATTCAAATAGACTAATACTACATACGCCCAAGCTCTGAAAAAGGCGGATCGCCGAAACGTCAGCCGAATCACTACGATTAGTTTACTAACCTCGTGTCAGCTAATCAAGATAAGTTTTCTCAAATTTCATATATCAAAAACACTGTGATGATGAATCAGGCGAGATGTTAAAGTGCATCAGAGACATACAAGATTCAATGCTTATAAACGTGTGGAGTAAACTGTGCTGCATTGATATGACGAGGTACCCAAAAGTTTCTTCCAAACTTGAATAAACCTTGATCATATAACGGAAATCGCGCACCGCCTCGCGAGTCGCGATGCGTTTAGCGATTTCTGCCGCCAGCAACTCCGGACTATATTGCACTGCTACTTCAGCAGTGCCACATAGAACCAAGCTCAACATTTATACGTGAAGGTCACACTCTATCTTTTTTTCTTTCAAAGAAACAAAGATTTTCCACCATTTTCTGATAAGAACAGTAAATAGCAGCATGTTTTAACTATAGAGATAGCTAAAGAACTTCTATCTCTTGCAACGATCTATTACTGAGCTTTATTGTCTTCATTAGGCGTTTGTTATGGACATTATCAGAACTGTCTCGAAATATACGTGTTACATTTAATCAGCTAACATGATTCCCAAGAATGAGGAAGATGATGTAACTTTTAGGCCTATGGGGATTTGAATAAGATTCGCTAGATTGATCACAAATATTAGATACTCGAAAATATCCGTTCAGCTTCTTCCGGAGTCGGCTGCGGTAATTTT